AAAAGACAGGGTCTTGCTGTGTTATCCAGGCTGGTCTCAAACTCTTAGGTTCAAGCAGGTCTCCCACTGAAGCTTCCTGAGTAGCTGGGATTACAGGTGTATACCACCACACCTGGCTCATGGTTTTTTGTTTTTAACATTGAATGACCTCTGAACTTTTTATTGGCCCCCTGCTCCCCAAAGGGTCCCATGTTTCTGCTGGCCCAATGTCTCAGAACTTTAGTGTTGTTGGTCTCAGACACCACTTTGCCATCCACTATCCAGCAGGTGGTGGTCTTTTGGATGGTTTGCATGGGGTTGCTGCTGTCCAGGGCATCACTAAGACTGAAGTCCTCGCCATCTTCCAGCAGGCAGCGGTAGGTGGTGATCTCAGCCTCCAGCTTGACCTTGATGTTCAGCAGAGCCTCGTACTCCTGGGCTTGGCGCTGTCCCTCTGCCTGGGTCTGTGCCCACTCTGACTCCAGGTGCAGAAGGATCCCATTGAGCTGCTCCATCTGCAGGGCGTAGTGGGCCTCCATCTCCCTCAGGCTGTTCTCCAAGCTGATCTTCGTATTTCTCATGGAGTCCAGGTCGATCTCCAAGGACTGGACTGTACGTCTCAGCTCTGTGAGCGTCATCTCAGCAGCCTCAACCTCAGCGGACTGTGTGGTGACCACTATGGTTCTCTCCTCAGTCAGCTGAGTCCAGTACTTGTCCAGCTCCTCTCGGTTCTTCCGAGCCAGCTCGTCATATTGAGCCCGGATTTCTGCCATGATCTTGGTGAAGTCCTGAGATTTGGGGGCATCTAACTCCATGGTCAACCCAGAGCTGGCAATCTGGGCTTGTAGGCTGTTTACTTCCTCTTCATGGTTCTTCATGAAGTCAGCAGCTCCTCCTTGAGAGCCTCGATCTCTGTCTCCAGCTGCAGCCGAGTGACACTGGTGTCATCGATGACCTTGCGGAGCCCATGGATGTCACTCTCCACAGACTGGTGCATGGCCAGCTCTGTCTCAAACTTGACTCTAAAGTCATCAGCAGTAAGACGGGCATTGTCCACAGTATTTGCGAAGATCTGAGCCCTCAGGTCCTTGATGGTCTTGAAGTAATGGCCCCAGTCTCTGACCTGGGGTCCCTTCTTCTCCAGGTGCTCTCGGATTTTGCTCTCTAGCTTCCGGTTCTCGGTCTCCAGGCTCCTCACTCTGTCCAGGTAGGAGGCCAGGCGGTCATTCAGGCTTTGCATGGTCTCCTTCTCGTTGTGGATGCCTCCCATTCCTGCAAGTCTCTAAGATGTCTCTCAGTAGTCAGCTTTTATCAAGACTAGCCTGGCACCACAGTTAGCAAACTATGGCCTGCTACCTGTTTTTGAATGGCCCATGGGCTAAGCATAGCTTTAAAATTTTTAAATTGTTGAGAAAAATAATAATAATTTTATGTGAAAATTATGAAATTTAGGCTGGGCATGGTGGCTCACGCCTGTAATCCCAACACGTGGAGGCTGAGGTGAGTGGATCACCTGAGGTCAGAAGTTTGAGACCAGCCTGACCAACAGGGAGCAACCCCATCTCTAGTAAAAATACAAAGCTAGCTGGGTGTGGTGGCACATGCCTGAAATCCCAGCTACTTGGGAGGCTGAGGCAGGAGAACCACTTGAAACCAGGAGGTGGAGGCTGCAGTGAGCCGAAATCGTGCCATGGCATTCCAGCGTGGGCAACAAGCAAAACTCCGTCTCAAGAAAAAAAGAAAATCATGAAATTTACATTTGTGTGCACAAATAAAGTTTTATTAGAACACAGCCATGCTCATTTATTTACATGGTTGCTTTTGCACTACAGTGGCAGAATTGAGTAGTTAGCAGAGACCATATGGCACACAAAGCCTAAAATATTTACTATTTGGCCCTTTACAGAAAAAGCTTGCTAAACCCTGGTCTAGCAAGTGGCTACAGCAGATAAATTGATAACTTTACATAAAATTGGGCTGAGCACCGTGGCTCACACCTGTAATCCCAGCACTTTGGGAGGCCAAGGCAGGTGGATCACCTGAGGTCAGGAGTTTGAGACCAACATGGTGAAATGCTGTCTCTACTAAAAATACAAAAATTAGCCAGACATGGTGGCACATTCCTGTAATCCCAGCTACTTGGGAGGCTGAGGCAGGAGAATCACTTGAACCCAGGAGACGGATGTTGCAGTGAGCTGAGACTGCCATTGCACTCCAGCCTGGGCAATAAGAGCGAAATGTTGTCTCAAAATAAAAAAAAAGCTTACATAAATTCGGTAGCTGTTTTTGAAATATTAGGAGTTGGCTAGGCATGGTGGTTCACGCCTTTAATTCCAGCACTTTGGGAGGCTGAGATGGGCAGATCACAAGGTCAGGAGTTTGACACCAGCCTGACTAGCATGATGAAACCCGGTCTCTACTAAAAGTACAAAAAAAATTAGCCAGGTGTGGTGGTGCATGCCTGTAATCCCAGCTACTCAGGAGGCAGAGGCAGAAGAAATGCCTGAACCTGGGAAGCGGAGGCTGCAGTGAGCCGAGATCTCACCACTTGCACTCCAGCCTGGGCGACAGAGATTAGGAGTTTCCTCAGAAAAAAATCCCAAGAACAAGGTAAGGCTAAATATAAGTATGAAAAGTCACTTAAAGCATCTTAGTGAAGTTAGATGGTGACATAGCCTGTCAGTACAGATATACATGAGTCAAGTGTTCTGAGACATCTACTGGGGTCTCCACCTAAACTGTAAGTTCTTAAATATTGTGTCCTATGATAACTACCAACTATTTTTTTTTTAACTGTTACTCTCTCAAGGTTCTAAAATCTGTGCCGAGATGTAATTCAACTACTATTTTGGTGTGACCCAAAAATTAATTTTGTTCACTCCCTAGCTACTTCTGATGTACCAGTTTCTGCAGTTACGCGAATGTGCTACTGATTAAGTTGTCTACCAACTAGGACAGTGTTTCCCAACTAATGTGTCTCAGAGAGCCCTCCATAGCACCTTGGTCTAGACTCGGCTTTCCCCAGGCCTTGGCTACCTGATACAAAGGTGAATCTGTACACACAACCCACTCCTTGTTCCCACAGGTCAGAAGCCTTCCCTCTGCCTTCCTGAACGAGTCCAAAAACAACTCAGGTTTGGAGTCCAATATTGACTGTTGGTCTGCGTTTTTATAGATATAAGTCTTGATATTGCAAGTAGATTTTTACAATAGGATAAAAAAGCAAAGCCTCCAATGCCTACCCCACACAATACACAGACAAACAGAACAATGCTGAATGATGTCTCTGAAATGTGCATTTGGCCAGGTGTGGTGGCTCACAGTAATCCCAGCACTTTGGGAGGCCAAGGCGGGCAGATTACCTGAGGTCAGTGTTTTGAGACCAGCCTGGCCAACATGGTGAAACCCCGTCTCTACTAAAAGTACAAAAATTTGTCTGGTGTGGTGGTGCATGCTTGCAATCCAGCGAGTTGGGGGACTGAGACAGGAGAATTGCTTGAACTCGGGAGATGGAGGTTGCAGTGAGCTGAGATCATGCCACTGTACTCCATCTCAGAAAATAAGTGCATTCATGCCCTCTTTTAGAAGCCGGAGTGTCAAAGAAGAATGAACTCTTGAATCATTCCATAGGCTGGCACAATATCTTAATACACCAAAAATAGATTTTGGCAAGGCAGGGTAGCTCACACCTATAATCCTTGCACTTTGGGAGGCTGAGGTAAGATGATTGCTTGAGCCCAGGAGTTTGAGACCAGCCTGGGCAACATAGTGAGACCCTGTCTCTATACTTAGAAAGATTTCCACTTTTTTCATTGCACCTGACCTACCACTCCTATATAGGGAGAGAGAAAGAATGTTTTTTCCTATTATATATAATAGGAAACCTTATCCTATGATAAGGTTTATAAGTTAGACACAGTAAGATTAATAACAGCAATAGAACAATTATCACAATATACTGTAAGAAGACTATGTGAAAGCTGGGCATGGTGGTGTGCACCTATAGCTCCAGCTACTTGGAAGGCTGAGACAGGAGGATGGCCTGGGCAACATATGGAGATCTCATCTCTACAAAAAATAAAAAAATCAGCTGAGTGGGGTAGCATATACCTGTGGTCCCAGCTACCTGGGAAGCTGAGGTGGGAGGATCGCTTGAGCCCATGCCGGAGGCTGAGGCTGCAGTGAGCCATAATCATGCCACTGCAATGGAGCCTGGGCAACATAGCAAGACCCCTGTGTTAAAAATACATATACAGGGCCGGGCGCGGTGGCTCACGCCTGTAATCCCAGCACTTTGGGAGGCCGAGGCGGGTGGATCACGAGGTCAAGAGATCGAGACCATCCTGGTCAACATGGTGAAACCCCATCTCTA